AGGTTTCATCCATATTCTGGCCTGTGTCAGTCCTTCATTTCTTTTTATAGCTGAAAATATTCCATTGTATGGGTATACCACAGTTTGTTTCTTTCAGTTCATCTGTTGATAGACATTTGGGTAGTTTCCACCTCTTGGTTATTGTGAATAGTACGGCTCTGATAAATGTTCATGTACAATTTTTATTTGAATGCCTGTTTTCAATTATTTTGTATATATGCCCAAGAGCAAAATTACCTGGCTGTATGGTAAGTGTGTGTTTAATTTTTTAAGAAACCAAAACCTGTTTTTGTTGAAGGACTTTAGATCAGAGAAAGGACCTAATAATAACTTAGGATTTAAAATATTGTTCTTACTGCTTAGGAGATTATAGGGGATCAAGGCAGAAGCAAAGAAACAATTCAGGAGTTAACTGCAGTCTCCTAACGGAGAGATGATACCTTGAAACTGGAGATAAGCAATGGAAAATGGCAGGAAATCCTCCAATTTGGGGTACTCAGGAATAGCCGACAGGATTTCCTGATGGTTTGTAGATGAGGGGGAAGAAAGGTTGCAAGGGTGACTGTAATATTTCTGGCTTGAGGAATTAGAAGATTGAAATTGACCAACTGTGAAGTACTAGCTCTAAGAGAGAAAACTAAAAGAGTTCAGTTTTGTGTATGTTAAGCTAGCAATATCTCTTTAACATCTGTATCAGATATCTATCACAATGTAACAAACCACACAAAATATAGTGGCTTTTTTGAGTGTGAATCTGTGTGTCAGCAATTCAGGCAAATCTCATCTGAGTAGTTCTGCTGGCCTCATATGGGTCACTCATGTGGCTCCAATAGGTTGGTGGCTTACTTGGAGGCCAGCTGATCCGGAATATTTCAGATGGGATGGATTACAGTCCTTCACATGCCCTTAACCTTCAATAGGCAAACCCAGGATTTTCTATGTGAAAATTTCAGGGCAGCAAGAGAGTGGAAGCTGCAAGGTCTTTTGTGTTCTCAGCTTGCAACTTCCACAGTGTCCCTCCCACTCCATGCAACTGGTCAAATAAAGTCACAAACTCAACCCAGATTCACTGGGGCAAAGACAAAGAATCAACCTCCCAGTGGGACTGTCAGTGTCACATTGCAAAGAGGTATGCAAAGCCAGGGAAGAATTAGTGTTCGTTTGTTTTATTTTTTCCTAATATTCAACCACACCATTCAGATGGAGATACCAAGAACATATGCAGTTACGTGTTTAGAAGAGAAGACTGGGCTGGAGAGTGAATGTAGCTTAATAAAGAAGAGAGTCTTTCCAAAGAGTGAGCTCTGATGTTGTCCAATAATGTACAAAGCTATGAAATAAAAGGAAACAGATAAGTGAACTAGATGGATCACCAGGGAGGTAGGAGCAGACCCAGGGAAAGTTGTGTCCAAGAAGTTAAATTTGGTCTTGAGATTCCCAAAAAATGACTGTGCATTGTTGTTTATGTAGTAGATATTAGATTTTCTGACAGTTAAGTATCATTGAAGTTATCTCACCACTTTGTAATGGTGACTGTTTTCTCTCTAGCCCAAGGCTAAGAGAGGGGTAGTAGTTTCTGTGAATACCAAAATTCTTCCTCTATTAAGCTCATTAAAAGATCTGAACCTCCATTAATACCCAGGGAAACTAGGCCAGAAATTGTCTGCAATGCTAATAGGAGCTGTGAATTTGAATTTTCATTGAAGTAATAGGGTCATGTGATTTAAACACAGGTAAAATCCAGTGGAGAGGGCAATTGAAAGACCTTCACTTTGTAACCATGTGGAAAAAGCATAGTATGTATTAAACCTCTTCCTGTACATAAAATTGTTCCAGGTCCTCCCAATTATGAAAAACTGAATGCAGCACTTGATCTGGATTTTCATATAGGTTGCCATTTAAATAAGACAACATAAATGAGATTCTAAATTTTATAAAATGCTAATGGGAAGGGAAACATGATCATGCTCATGTAGAGAAATATGGATGCAAAGCATGGCCAGATATACTTGGCAATAGAGTACAGGAGAGAAGGTGTAGAAGAAAAAAGACCAAGCATTAGGGGGCCTGAGCAAATCCCTATAAATTAGTAATGTCTATAAATAAATCAGCCGCCATTTATGGTTTTTACAATGTGCCAAGTACGTACTATCTATCCTAAAACCATCTTTATCAATTTCCTTAGTTATTGTGGCAACCAAGAGGTAGGAGGCACTTTTGGTGCTTACACCACATCCAGTTGGCCACTTGTTATCAGTGCACTCTGCCAGCACCTCCTACAAATGCATGCTGTGGTGGCTCTCTGCTGTCCTGCCTGTCCCTAAAACCTTAAAAAGCCACTCCGCCTGCATGCACATTCAGCTAGGAAGCAATACTTGGCTAGTGGGGGATTGAAGTCAGTGGATAAATACCTGAGATCTCTCCCTTTGCAGATCTCTCCCTTTAAGATGACTTCTACGTGGTTCCTTGCACATTTCCCTGGGCAATTGAGCTTTTGTTGTTCACCACAGACCCTGGCTCATGATGCACATTTCATTGCCTTCCTCCCTTACTGTTTCATTATCCAATGTTCCTCTCTCTGCTTTCTGTGACTCCTCCCAAACTAACTGTACCCAAATCCATGGGTCAGGCACTGTTTGTGGGGAACCCAAACCAACACAGGAACAAACTGTTCCACACTTAAACAGATACAAAAATGAGGTCATAAACATTTAAGAACTTGATCAAAATCATCAATGGAATTTACCAGAACCCCAATTGGCCCCTAATCTTCCAGAAGCAACCCTGAATCTCTTGGAATCAAGGTATTCATTATTTAATTGTTATAGGTAAATAAATATTTATAGACTCAACTGTGAAATTCTATGGTTCTAAATCATAATTTCTTATGCATAAAGGAAGGAAATATATTTCCTTGGTAAGAATATAAGACCTAGAACACTGAATATTCTCGGGGCTGGAACACTCTCTTATTTCCTTACTATTCTCAAAATAAATTACTAAAGGAAAATCCTCATATTTTAGTCTCTGAATGTTTTATTTCAATAGATAATTGGTTGAAAGGACCTATTTTTAAGGATTTTAAAAAAGTATTCTTTGTATTCTCTGACTCTTGGGTAAGGTCTTTCCTCCCAGATTTGTGGAGACTTTGATGATAATTACAGCCTACACTTTAGTATTTTATAGTATAGAGTACTTGCACATATGTTTTCCTTTTCTTCATTTACCTGTTGCAACAACCTTATGAGGTACATGAAATCATTTTACAGATGAGGAAACTTAATTGCAGTAATTACATCTTGCACACGCTTAATGTACTTGGCATATGGCAGAACTAAGTAATCAATCCACATCTTGTAATCCAAGGCAGAGCTTGTTTACTGTAGCATAGCCATTGATGATGTCTTTGACTACAGCCAGTGCTGAGAAAGAAGTAAAGAATGAACTGTCTGGGTGGGCCACGTGGAAGGAGATGGTTTAAGTGGGTTCATAAATAGCTGCTTCCCATGAATTGATGTCTCTTATTTTCTGCATTTCCAAAGTATATTTAGTTGCATGGAGAAGTTTGATTCTAATAGAAATTATCAAAGAGAAACATCGTGTCATATTACCAACTACTCAAGTTTTAGATCCCGACAGGAATAGGTGATTATTCAACTTCTTCACTGGTAATTCTTACCATAACTATTCCTTCAGTCTCCTGACCCTTCATTTGTTTATTGTTATAGTGACACTGATAATGCTGTTTCAGATAAAAATATAAGTGAACTTACTTTTAAACCATAAACCTGAGTCAATCACAAATTGCTATGTGGTCACCATTCTCTCAACACAATCGAAAAAGGGGAGATAGGAACCTTTGTGTAAGTGTTTAGCATTTGCCCTTTCTTAAAAGTCAATTTTTAATTAGTCTTTTCAATCTAAACAGTTGCAATGTTCTATGCTCTTCTTCTTTTCACCACAACTGAAGAGTGATAAATTCTTTGAACATATATGACGTTTTCATGTTCTCATAACAGGTCAACAATACCTACACTTGTACCCCATCTGCAGTGTCCAGGCTCTGTTATAATCTGTTGATACCATGTTTCTTTCCTCCCTACAAGTTACTGATATTTTTATTTTATTACTGTGGTAAAAAAACACACAGAATTGACTATTTTAAGTACTTCTAAGTTTACAGTCTATAGTTTTAAGTGTATTCACATTGTTTCTATCTAGTTCACATTGTCATACAACCATCCATCCTCATAACTCCTTTGATTCTGCAAAACCAATACTCCATACCTACTACACAATAAAACTCCTGACTCTCCCCTCCCACCAGCCTCTGGAAACCACCATTCCACTTCCTATCTTTTTGAACTTGACTACTCTAAATATCTCACATAAGTCGACTCATACAGGATTTGTCTTTTTGTGACTGGCTTATTTCACTTAGCAGAATATCTTCCAGATTCAACCACATTGTAGCATATTACAGAATTTCATTCTCTTTTTAAGGCTATATAATATTCTACTATATGCATATAGCACATTCTGTTTTTTTTTCACTCATCCATTGATGACACTTGGGTTGATTCAACCTCTTAGTTATTGTGACTAATGCTGTGAACATGGGTATTCAAATATATCTTTGAGATCCTGCTTTCAGTTCTTTTGGATAAAGAAGTAGAATTATTGGATGATTTAGTAGTTCTGTTTTTAATATTTTGAGGAACCTCTATATTATTTTCTATAGCAGTTGCATAATTTTTCATTCCCATCAACAGTGCAAAAGAGTTTCAATCCCTCAGCATCCTCAGCAACACCTATTATTTCCTGTTTTTGTTTTGTTTTTATTCAAATGGAAGCCATCCTGGTAGGTGGGAGGTGATAGCTCATTATAGTTTTGATTTGCAGTTCCCTAATGATCCATGTTGTTGAACATCTTTTCATATGCTTGTTGGCCATTTGTGCATCATCTTTGGAGGAGTGTCTATTCATGTCTTTTGCCCATTTTAGAAATTATGGAATACATGAGTTCTCATGTCATTCTTACACCAGAGTCATGCTAATCACCTATGTATCTTTTCAGTTTTAGTATGTGTGCTGCCAAAGCCAGCACAGAAGTTGTTGATTCTTAGAATTTTTCAGTCTTTCATAACCACATTTTCTCTTCTCAACAAACCACCATCCCCTCCACTATGCACCTACACCCAACACATTTCTCCACGAAAGATGTAGAAGGAAATATAAATATATTATTAAAAATTACTTCTTTCCCATATTCAAGTAATTGGCTCTTTCCATTGCCTGATTACTGGTAGTCTTTGAGTTTTTGTTTAGTTTTGTGCTTATTATGTCACTGGGTTTGGAAGAGGAAAATTCCAAATTAAGGTCTGGCTTAACTCTCAACAGTCTGATCAAGGTGAAGATGAGTAAGGAGCAATATTTCAACCTAGCATCTAAAGGGGACATAAATCTTGCTCTTTTTTTTTTCATTTTAATCAGAAATTCTTAATTTTCTCACCCTTGATGTAAAAATCATTAACACTTACACCGCAAGGAACATAAATCATAATACACAAAAGAATAGTAAGCAACCTTTAATCAATATCACTTCCTTCTATGAGACATAGTGGAAATAAAAGAATACAATTCATCATTAATCAGGAGTCTCACAAACATTTAGCCAGGGCCTCATGTCTTCCTAGTACTTACTTTGCTCCAGCTTCTTTATGCGTTAGGACAAATCAAGGTCCTTTTCCATCCTAAAAACTTTGCACACCTTGTTCCTTTTCATCATTTCATCATTTTCCTTGAGGTCTCAACCAACTCAATGCCATCTCCTCGGAGAGGCTTCCTGACACCTGACCCAATGGTGCTGCTGCCTGACAGTGACTTTCTGTCACTCCATTCACTTTATTTTCTTCACAGCACAAATAACTTTCTAAAATTACCTTATTCATTGTTTACTTGTATGCTTGTATTTTGGCAGGACCCTCACCAGTCAAATACATGCTCCGTGATTGCAGAGGCCCATTTTTTTGGTTATCCTCTATATCTTCGGTGCCCGAAACAGTGCCTGATTAACACACACATGTTTAATAAATATATGTTGAATGAATACATGGTGACAATGTCAATCAAGGGTCAAAACCTTTTTCTGTAAAATGCCACATAGTAAATATTTTAGGCATTGCAGACCATATGGTTCTCTGTTGCACCGCTCAACTACTGGTATGGTTCAAAAGCAGCCACAGAAAATTCACAAAAAAGTAAACACGGTTTACTTGACTGTGTTGCAACTGTTGTCAGCTTTAGTGTAAGAGCACCCTTAGATGTTGATTCAGATGTTAGTATTTGCTGAAAAAAATCTTGGTAATAATAAAGAACCAAAGATAAAATTGGGTTTATTTCAAAATTATAGACAATAATTACTGTGCAAGTTAAGAGATTCCAGATTTTCTACATAGTATTATCACTCTTGTTCACTCAGAAGCTTCAGTGGGAAGAAGAACATTGGCATTAAAGATAGGGTGTGTGTGGGAGGAAATGTGGGAGCTCATCTTTATGTACAGCAGTGGTTCTCACACTCGAGTGTGCATCTGAAACACCAGTGGTTTCTGGGCTGCACCACAGAGTTACTCATCTAGCAAATCTGGGGTGATGACTGGGGACTTGTGTTTCTATCTATCCTGCTCATGATGCTGCTGCCTGTGTAGAGGCTGGAAAGTGGCTAGGAGTTGAGTGTGGTGATGTATATGAGAATGGGCCTTATGTGAAGGTGGTACGTGGGACACAAATGAGAGGCAATTATTCAGAAGAGTGTCATAAATAAGAATTAAAAATCAGTTCGGTATACAGACAGGGAAAAATAGGGTCATGACTATAACATGGTTGTACAGGAAAATTGGGTGAATGCTCGATCCACTAATTGAAATAAAGGATATGAAGAACAGTTTGAAGGAAAGTTTGTAAGTTTTCATTTGAATATGCTATGTTTGTGGTGCCTACATCCAATCCAAGAAGGATTGTCTAAGAGGCCTTTGGAAATATGGGTTGAAGTTCAATAATGTAATCTGGGACCCAGTCATATATGCTTTGGGTAGCAATCAGCAAATGAGGGCTCACTGAATTCATGGAGAAAAGATGAAATAGCCCTTAAGGGATGTGTAGAACCTGAAGAGAAGAAAGCTTCAGGAATTCTAAACTATGCCAGGCTGACCTGTTAAAGAAGGAAACAAACTAGACTAGTAGTTATAGAAACAGTTGTATAAACAGACTGGTAGTCTTATTACTGTACTTGATTAAGCATGGGATTTGGCAATATACTTCCTGATATTATGCTGGGTAAAGTGAGTCACTTTCTTTAACAATATATGGCATTAATACTTGGTTTTATGAGCATAGATAAAGGATGTTGATGTAAGAGCAGAACAATGTGAATGATTAATGGTATCAGTCTCTTCCCTTAAATGCATCTCATTGATAAATATGCCAGAATGGATAAATTGATGCTTGACATACACTGGAGGAAATGCAGTGAGTGAGAGAATATTCTGGTAAATTGAAGTAAAAAGTTAAATTTATCAGAAGAATTTTTAAAAAGAAACAAATCTACCTCTTCATTCAAAAAAATGATAAGAAAAGAGAGGAAAGGAGGAAGAGAGAAACAAAGGGCAGATGGAGCCAAGAGACATCAATACTAAGATAGGAGACATAAATTCAAGTGTTTTTGTAATATCATTAAGTATAAATGGACCAAACCTTCCAATTAAAAGGCAGAGAATTTCAGACTGCTTTAAAAATAGAGTCCACACTGAACCATATGTTGTCTATATGATAAGCTAAAAAAAAAGAGATAGAAAAAGATGCAGCAAGAACATTATAATAATAAAATATATTAGAAAAAGGAGACTTTAGGACAGGCTTATTTTCCAAAATAAAGTGAAGCATTCTATAATGATAAAAAGAGCAATTTACCAGAAAAAATACTAATATTAAATGTGAATATACCTAATAAGGAAGCCCCAATATGCATCCAGTAAAACTATTAGAATCAGAGGAAGAAATAGAAAAATATACAATTAATTTTACTGATTATCATTCCAGGCATTAGTAGAAAACTTAGACAAACAATTCAATAAGTACATAGCTGGACTTAACACAATCAGCTTGAACTAAATGATGTGAGCCTCCTTTTTAAGGATCAATAGTCACAAGCTTTTGGAGTAAAAGCAGCAAACCTTTAAGTGGTTCTTCCACATTTAATATTTTCCTAGGCATATAATAAATAGTTGCTGAGGAATACATCCTCTTTAGGACCTATGCACCTTTTGTGCACAGGCTATTTTAAGACTTGCCAAAGGATGAGAGAATTTTTAGATGAGGCTAGGATTCTTTGGAAACTAAATTTCTTCAAAGCGTTATTAGTTTTCTAATTTATTTAATAGTCAGTTTCATGCATGAGTAACCACACCAAAAGTTCTTTTTGAAACAGTTCTCAGATGGTCTTTATTTCCTTCTCTCTAGTTTCCTCATATAGGCCAATTTAATAGCAGTTACCTTGAGGAGATGAGGATGCAATAGGGCATATTCCAAATCTGATCACGTTATGGAACCAAGAATTCCTGTCAAGTCTTTGTCAAAAAGCAAATTTTAAAATTTTATCTCCTACTATTTAGGATCTAGAATCTGTCAGTTATTCTAATCTTGCAAACCCTAAATATGCAGTCTCTCTTTATCCATGCATTTCTGCATCTAAACTGGTTGGCTTATTTTTCTTGTGTTTCCAAAAAGATCTAGTTACAGACAATACATAATAAAAGGTTTTTTTTCAACCTTTTTCCCCAACTCTGTAATCATTTAATCTGTCTTCCAAGTTATGACTGGCCAGAGGTTTGCATTTGAATGATATGGATCAAGAGCTATCCAGCTTGTTTTATGTGTTGTTTTGTTATCCTCCATTCAGTCACTGGACCAATGCTGCATACTGGAAAATGGCAGTCTGATTCTGGTACCAATTTCTATACCAGTAAGAATAAGTAATACTGGCTGCTGAAACAAACAATACAGAATCTCAGTGGCTTTAAACAATTAAGGTTATTTTGTATACATTCATGTATGTGTGTGCATGGGTGTGCACAGGTCCACATGCACACCAGAAACCAACACTGGATAGCAGAGGAAGGTGTGAGATTCTGCCTCACAGAGAAATTCTGCAATAAGTTTCTTTCCATGCCATGGTTGCATTATATTCCACATATGGCTTCAGTATCATCCTTGCATAATCTAGCTGGCAGAGGGGAGAGAAAGGGGGAGGAGGCACACCCAATCTTACCTGTCTTGGTTCAGAAATGTCACATCCTTCCACTAAAGGTATTATCAGTAAAATTAGCCACCATGGCACTTAATGTAATAATGCAGTCTGGAAAACAGAAATATGCCAGTTATTTTAACAGATAATTTGATATAGGGAACTGTTTAAACAGATATTGAAGGAATAAAAGGATATGAGAAAACACTTTCAGGGAAAGGCAGAGAGGGGCAAGGAGAGAGAAACAGAGAGCAGATCACTCTAACTTCTGCTGGCGTCTCTGGGATTTCAAGGGCTGAAAGAAGCTTAAAAAAGGGGAATAAAACCTGGATCCAATTGCTGCTTGAACCAGTTACTGATGCAGATTAAAGAGCTATCTCTGCTATGTTGCCTATAGGGAATCATCAGCCAGACAGGAAGGAGTTACTCTCTCCTTCTGCCTAGTGCCCTTACTGGCACAATTATCAGGAAGCCAGCTTACAAGGAGAAATGCAATAGTAGATTCCCAGTCTCAGAATCAGAGGTGGCTTTAGAGGATGGGTGGATTATGAGTTGAGCAACAACAGCTTAAGTGGGGCAGTGCTTTCTGACCTTTTATTTGTACAGGTATCCTTGCATCTTTGCCTCAGTTCTGGTAGCTTGAGAACTAATATTAGCAACTCACATTATTGCACAGATCATTGTAACTTAAAAGTCAGTGATTTTTCAAATGAAATTCTATGAGTCCACCTTTCTAAGCCGTAACAGTTAAGAGTGTGGTCACAGTATGAGGAGGCCCTTGCACTGCTTTGCCAGCATATACAGCA